TCCACCTTCGGCTCAGGTCATGATCTCAAGGTCCTGGGATGGAGACCCATGTCGGGCTCCCTGCTTGCAGGGAGAAGGGAGAGCCTGGAGAAAGGAGCCCGCATTTTCCCCCACCCCTGTTTGTGCTCTCTCTTGCTATCTCTCTCAAATAAATAAATAAAGTCTTAAAAAAATTAAAACCTCAACATACATCTCCTAAAAATGAGGACATTCTTCTATAAAACCACACTATTGTATCACACCAAAGAAAATGAATGTTTCCTTATCATCATCTAATACCTGGGTTATGTTAAAATTTCCCCAGTTTTCCCCCAAACTATCTTTTATAGCTACTTTTTTTTGATTGGGATCAAATTGAATTGTATTTGGTTCTTTTCTTTCTTTTTTCTTTTTAATATTTTATTTATTTGTTTGTTTGAGAGAGAGAAAGGAAGGGCAGAGCGAGAGGGAGAGAAAATCTCAAGCAGACTCTCCATTGAGGACGGAGCCCAACACGGGGCTTGGTCTCAGGACCCTGAGATCATGACTTGAGCCAAAACCAAGAGTTGGATACTCAACCGACTGAGCCACTCAGGCGCCTCTTGGTTATTTTCTTAAGACTTTTATCTATAACAGTGCTCCTTTACTCCTGTCTCTTTTCTTTTCTTTCTTTCTTTTTAAATGACAACTTTTTAAAGAAACTGAGCCATAGAGTGTTTCACATTTTGGATGGGTCTGAATTACCTATGGCATCATGCAACTTGTTGCTCTATTTCCCGAATGTCCTGTAAGCTGGAAGTTCAGTCGAAAGGCTTAATTGCATTCCAGTTAAATACTTTTTGCAAGAATACTTCATAAGTGATGCTGTGTACTTTATACGATATTCCTCAGGCTACATTTTTTCCTCACTTTCTTTACTAATGTCACTTACCTGGTTTGTCTTCATTTATACTACTTTCTCATCCCTGTTTTATACTCAGATATGCATTTTGATCAAATATGTTTAACACAATGAGTCCTCCTTTAATAATATCCTAATCTTCGGCTGTCAGTTTAGAATTTTCCCTAGCTCCTGGAGCAGAAGCAAAGAAGAGGCTGATTATGATAAAGCTGCTGAGTTTCATGTGTTGGGGGTTCTTGTCTTCTCTCCTGGGACTATGCTCTCCTTCCCAGCACCGGCAATGCACTACGTCTTCAAGATCTGCTCTTTGAGTGATGTTTTCTGTCTAGACATCTTCTTTCCTCTTTTGCTCTCTCAAAATTTCTGTCTTCTCACTATAACTTTAGGCAGTTTGTTCCTTTCTTACTCTCATTAATCAGATGAACAGATAATTGTCAAAATCAAGTAGTACGGGGTACCTGGGTGGCTCATCGGGTTAAAGCCTCTGCCTTCGGCTCAGGTCATGATCCCAGGGTTCTGGGATCGAACCCCGCATCGGGCTCTCTGCTCAGCGGGGAGCCTGCTTCCTCCTCTCTCTCTGCCTGCTTCTCTGCCTACTTGTGATCTCTGTCTGTCAAATAAATAAATAAAATCTTTTAAAAAAAATCAAGTAGTACAAAGTGCTCTTTATAAGAGCAAATCGCGGGGCGCCTGGGTGGCTCAGTGGGTTAAAGCCTCTGCTTTCAGCTTGGGTCATGATCCCAAAGTCCTGGGATCGAGCCCCGCATCGGGCTCTCTGCTCAGCGGGGAGCCTGCTTCCCTTCCTCTCTCTCTGCCTGCCTCTCTGCCTACTTGTGATCTCTCTCTCTCTCTCTCTCTCTGTCAAATAAATCTTAAAAAAAAAAAAGAGCAAATCCCTATCATTTAACACGTCAGTGGCTCAATGTGTGTTCCCAAAATAGGTTTCTGGGACATTAATGTCTATTATGCAAAACAAAATAAAACAAAAGAACCCCAACAACTTAAGAGGTCAAATGGATTTGGGAGAAGCTGAGCCAAAGTTACACAGGTTTTAGGTTTGTTTGTTTAATGTAGCCGTGTCCAAAATTATTTGACTATGGGAGCCGGCAGTCTCTAGAATCTTTTAGTGTTACTGTTTCCCAGGAATTACCATCAGTGGGCTACATCTCACACCTTATACCTGCATTTGCTCAGGAGCCTTGAAGATAGAAGACCCTACGTACACCTACCTTTAAGGGATGACTCTGTACATGAGACTTTATGCACCTTGGCAAGCTGATGAAGAAAACCACTTGAGATAGGTTATTTCTTTCAGGATCCCCAAATAAACTGCATAGGATAAATGGTTTCTTAACTTCATCACCACAAAATCATCCAGAGCTACTGCTAAATGTTCTACTAATATCCCTTCTTTTGTTAAATTTTTTTCTAATTATTCATGTTTTTCCTGTAAGTATGTAAAGCTTGTTGGAAACAGGCTCTTTCAGTTCCTGAATTTGGTAGAAGGAAACTAATTATTCCCTTGGAGAAAAAAAGAAGTATAGGCACTGACTGAAAATCTGAGTAACACCAAGTAATATGCAAATTAAATTATATATACATATATATACATATATGTGTATATATACATGTGTGTATACACACACACACACACACACACACACATTAGTCAGAGGCCTGAGGTGGGTTTTGAACAGGTTGTGAAGAAAAAGGGAGAGAATAGCAGACATGGTCGTGAAGATAGACAAGTATTGCTAGCAGTAGGAAGCAGAGTGGTTAAGTTGGAGAATATATTTCTTTTCAGAGATATGAGGGCTTAAGGACAAGTGCAGTGTTAAAAACAGCCAACAGAGCAGCTTAGATTAGATATGAGAATTAAAGATCTACTGCAGGTACTAGAGCACTTGCAGAGGAGAAAGGCAGAGGGAGCCGTACAGCCATTGCCAACCAATGCTGGCAGGAGCTAGCTGTCTTTGAGATATTTTCTTTCTGAAATTCTCTCCCCCTGTTTTTGGGATAATGCTCTCCTAGGCTTTTCTTCTAATTCTCTAGATGCTCTTCAGTCCTATTATTGTTAATAAACAAGTAAAATAATTATTCATAATTATAGCTAACAGCTATGTGGTTATTATGTACTAAGAATTGTGGCCAGCATTTTGTTATCTCCCTTAATGAACCCAACCCTGTGAGGTAGTTATTCTTATCATCCCCATTAAAATGAGAAACTAAAACCTAATAGTAAGTTGTCACGAGATACTAGATTGTGGAATCCAAGCATATGTTCTTAATTACTATGCATGAAGCTTGTAACTAAAATTTTGGGATTATTTTTTCAGACTTCTAGCCTTCATCCTTTTCTTCTCAAGTTTCAGTCTTTGTATTTACAATTTCTTTAACCTTTTCCATACAGATTTGTATGCCTTATCGTGTTTTTATTCTTGCTGATTTCTTGATGTACCTTTAAAACGTTCGTTTCCAAACTAGAGACTCATCTCATTAGAACAGGAAGAAACACACAGAAGTGACGGTAGTATGCTTTTCGTTGGATCCAATGCTTTTCATTTGATTTGTCCCATTACTGATGGCACTTGAACACTTGATTAAGATGGTGTTTGCCAGACTCTCCCCGCTATAAAATTACCCTAATTCCCTTTGTCATGAGTAAGAACTTTATGGGGAGTTAATTTGAAAGTATGTAATTATTCCAGTGTTTTTCAAATTTTCAGTTTATGTTTATTTACATTTGTCTGGTTTCTTGTGCTATTCAGTGGGTTACAATATATTATCATTTTTTATTCTGAAGGTCAGTTTGTCAAAGATTTGGCCAGTGGGACACAAGTTGGCCTGTGTCCTTTTGACATGCCCCCATCATTCTTTAAGCATGTCCTTATTTTCTGGCACAACTAGAGGCTCCAGGCTCAACCAGTACTTCTCTTCTCCAGCCTGGAAATCAGCCATTTTGCCAAAAAGAAAAATGAGGAGAATGGTATTGGGAAGCCAAGATCTGGGCTTCATTGTTTTGTTTTGTCACTACTCCCAGAATCTCTCAGTGTACAGAGTATATATGTACTTACACACCGATGTAAATATTGATACCTCCATTATCAGTCCACTACCAAAAGTTTCATTCTACTTTCTTTCTGTTGTAACTCTTTCTCAACAGTAAGAAATTTGATTCCCATTTTCCTTACTTATTGGATGGTACTCTTGTACATAACCAATCTCTCGCCACTGATACTGTCCCCTCCCCTGCTTGATTGTCCTCTTCACCTACCCATGCTGACTTCCCAAGGCCAGATGGCTAATCCAGCAAGGTAAGGAGAGCCCTCTATACCAGGCCGCTTCCCTGTTTGGATGCCCTTCTCAGCCCAAGTCCAACATGACAGCTTTGGCTGCCTCCCCTTCCCTCACACACTGCTGTGCTATTCCCTATACATATCCTCTATAATGAATTTTAAAAATACATTATCCCTTTGCTTGTTGTAAGACCTCTGTGAGGTAGTTAAGGAAGGTATTATTACTTTCTAAAGATTTTATTTATTTGACAGAGATCACAAGTAGGCAGAGAGGCAGGCAGAGAGAGAGGAAGGGAA